ATTTTCAAGCAACGATATCGATTCGGCACTCGAGAAGGATGTGTTCCTCCTATTAACGAAACCGAGGTTTTCCATTGCAGCAACGCAGATGAAGCTGGTGCCTTTGTACGAACTGCTTGTGTACGCACTACTCTTCGTGCTTACGATGCCGTTCGTCCAATTGCTGGTTTTACCGGGAAGCTACCTCCGCTTCGGCAGTCTGGATGCGCGGCCGTGCGACTTCGTGTGTGCCTTCGCCGAAGGTCATGCTGCGGTTGGGCTCATGCATGCTCTTTGGGACTACTCGGTCGGAATGATCCGGGCAACTGCTGGACTTGGCAGCTCCCGTGCAACTGCTGGACCTGGCAGCTCCGAACCTGAGGCAGAGGGAAAAATTCTCACATGGAGATCCGGTGGAAATATTTATCGATTACTCCGTGCAACATTGTCCGTGATGTTTGTCGCGGTCTTGATTGTTGTGTACTTATTCGTGCTTGTTACTGACTATCATTACCAGAGTGTCGTTGGCCGTCCCATCTCGAATATCGAAATAGCGATCTTCCTGGAAAGTGCATCGGAGCTGGATGCAAAAGCTATGGGTATTTCATCCGACTTTTATATGTCGTTCGTCCTGGTTGCATCCTTCGCAGCGTTGGGGATTATCGTTGCCATTTGGATTAGAGCAAGTGTGTGCAACAATTCCAAGGGAGTAACTGCCAGAGTCTCTCTTTGTAGCTATGGAAGTGCGATCGCGTCGGTTGCTCTCTGTGCCCTCTTGTCTTCGCAAGGTGCGTGGTCGCCTGCTTCCAACTTCACGAAGGAGCTCTGCAAGTATGCCGTGAGTGAATCCGTCCATCAAGGTGAATCCTTTCCTTCGAGCATCCCGGAAACATTCGTGCCCCGGAATATAAGCGGGGGCACACACACGAGAAGGCAGCCTAACATCATTTACGTCATCAACGAAAGTCTCGGGAAGGTGTTCATGTGGAATGAGGAGGGACGCAGATCCATGCCCTACTATCACGAAGAGTTTCTCACCCGTCCGGACGTGTACGATTTCTCGACCGCGTACAGCGTGTCCGGGGTCACCGACATCGCCATGCCTGCCATGTTGAACGGGCGTTTGCTTGCATCGTCGAACGAGACCGATCGCCTGCTCTACGTCGGCTTGCCCACGATTTCCAGACTTGCCAAGGCCAGAAACTACACCACGTACAACTTCTGCGCCTACGATACGGTTTACAAGAGTCGATGGCAGCACATGAGCAGAATGTTGAACGACTTCGACCACGTCTACTCGCGGACCACACTCGAGAAGCCAGCGGTCAACGAATTTGGGATGGACGACCGAGAATTGCTGCAGATCTTTCTCCATCCACGAGACGAATCGTTCTGGACGAAACCGTTCTTCTCGCTGATCGTCTTTAACAACATGCATCATCCGTTTCTCGTCGACGAGAAGACGTACGTAAAACCTAATTCCGCCTCCAAAGAAGAGATCGACCTCTCACGATACATGAATTCCTTGACCATCACCGATCGGTTGCTGAGGGATCTCATGAAGGGATTGGAAGAGAACGGCGTTCTCAACGACACGATTCTCATCTTCTCTTCTGACCACGGCGAAACTCCTAACACGGTGTTCGACAGAATCCACCATCCGACGCATCCCGTCGTCACGGTACCGCTGTCAATCTACATTCCGAATGAATTCCTGCCCAAGTCCGAGGAAGAGGTCGCCAATTTCGTCGCCAACACCGACAAGCCCGTGTCGAATCTGGATATCGTGCCCACGATCATGAGTCTCCTCGACTTACGCTCGACCGCTTACATGCTCAGCGATCGCTTCATCGGAGGGGAATCGCTTTTCCTGGCCAGATTCAACTACTCGCGCGTCGCGGCCGGTTACATAGGCCCTCCGTTTTTCGACACTTTTGCAAGGGCTATTTACTTCGCTACTTGGAGAGCAATAATGTTCTTCTACATTCCGAGCGAGAAAATCGTCGAAGTCGTGGTGGACGAGAAAAATCCCCTCCTGATTACCAATCAAACAGAATCGTGGTTTTCTCTTGCCACTGACAGCGTGAATTACTGGAAAAGTGTGATTTCCGAATTCCCTGCTTTAGCTAAATACTTGGAGGAATTTCTTGAGCTATGAATGGGAAATGGTGCATCTTTGGTTTGATGGACATAAAAATCAATCTATATACAATTATTTTTAATATTTTAATGCCATCTACTTTTCATCACGTCTGGTATTTTGGATCAGCGTATGTGCTTTATTTTGTAGTCACCGTGGAATAATCTATCGATCTGTCTAGCAATCACTTTTGGCGAGTCGTCAATCTTATCGTAGGTTGCCGATTTTTATTAAAATTTTTTGAATTATAAGGTAACACAGTTGGAGTTAGTATACTAAATTTCAGCCATCTGTCTTTAAAATTATAGGAGTTGTAATTATTTTATGTTGACCAGCGACGAAATGTGTAGTGGGAAAGATGAAGACAACCTTGTGACTGGGATGAAAGGGAGGTCCAATTCATTGACCTTCTATCCCTGCATGATGCTACGAAGGAAGATTGGGAGATACTGCCTCGACGGTTTATTGACCGAGCCCTTGATCTGCGGTGTTCCAGACTATGGGCTCCCGTTCAATATAATGGAGGGCAAATTGAGCGCCTTTTCAGTTGAAATGCACGTCCCTAAACGAAATTATGTGCTTTCGTGTTAGGCATAAGTTCTTCTGCTTTTGTTCTGTTTGTTGGCTTGTTTGTTTTTGTTAGTTGTGAGAATTTTTAAGCTGAAAGAAAAACTGAACACTTAATTTTTTGGTGATGAAAAGTAAATTCTATGCCAATCTCAGTTTTTGGAATTTTTATTTGAAACTTGGCACGCAAACCCTAATTTAGTTTCCCTATGTATATACCAAATGTAATCAAAATCGGCTGCATGCAGATTGACAACTTACCAAAAATGATAGCATTGTTTTATTTTTGACCCACCCTGTATATACTGTATTATGCTTGGGCGACTGTATGTCCGCAGTGCCATGTTCGCATGCGCGGCGCCTTCTTCTGCCCGGCTCCGCGTGTCAGCCTCGCTCTCTCTAGCGAGCACTTTCTCCGGCTATTGCGGCTGTATTCTCGCGGATCTATTCTCGAGAAAAGGACAGTAAGGAATTATACGTCTTGCGCATCCCCCTCCGCACCGCTTAGGGGGTGTTCACTCTACGAGGCGGACATTCCGGCGGGGACGTGTAAAACGTCTCCGCTTATAACACTTGGAGTCCCTTTTCATCCCGCTGGAGTAAGGATGACTTCCTTGTCGGAATAAGAATTCGGCCCCTTCATCGATCGGAACCCCGTCTTCGTATTGATCGGCACTCTCACAAGGAGAGTGACTGCCTAGGATGAAAGCGACGGGATTCCATCTTTATGGGGAACAGGAGGGCCTACCTTTGGATTGGAAAGTCACCGCTTAGTAACTATCCCGTTTCTTAAGCGTGTTTTTCACTCATACGCCTACATGAAAGGTGGTGGAGATGAACTTTACGGGTCGCGATCGATACGGAATAAGAGTATGGTTAATACGGGATAAGAGTTTGCTTGATTAAAGTCCGTCTTGTAGGCATGAACACCCCCGTGGGAAAGGGGGAGGTGGGGGGGATGCGCGAGACGTACAATGTCCGAGCCTCGGCCGACACGGAGCTCGCGGATGTCTTCCACGGGTTAGGGTTTCCGTCTCGCTCTCAAGCTCGCAATTTCTTTCGAGCCTTCGCGACTGTCGGATCCGTCTTCGAGAATGAGGGAGCGGCTGCCGCGTAGTGTTCAAAGGGCCACTGACTGAATTCGTATATTCCCAACAATGTTACACGGTTATCCAAGGCCAAAGATGTCAAATTTGATTAAACTGGGGAAGGATGGAACCCTTCAAGAGTGGTTGGGTCCAAATTAGCAAATCTTAAACTAAAGTTTCAATTGATAACAAGTTGAAAACGTCTACTCTTCTTCAAAACCAACTGTTGAGGAGGACTTTGCGGTCCGGACGAAATCAACTAGCTGGCCGGATGTTAGACACCCTTGGCCTCGACCGACCCGAAGTTCGTGGAAGTCTTCTACAGGTCATTCTCGAGGGCGGTACAGAGCGGCCGCTGCTTATATCGTTGAGAGGCCCGCTGAGTTTTAGGGCTGTCGACTAAATTCGTGAATCCCCGAGAAACCTTTTGTGGAAGGCTTTCGCGGGTTAGGGTGCCGTCTCACGCGCTCGAGCTCACACGTTCTCTCTGGCCTTCGCGACTGTCGGATCTGTTCTTGAGAATGGGAGAGCCATCGAGAGAAAGCGTAGAAACAAAATTGTATGGAAATAATAGCAACTTTTGGATATTACCGACAGGAAGAATTCTGATATTGATGCCCCTCAATTTGAGAAAAAGTAAATTGTTATTTCTTGTTCAACACGGTTCCAGTTTGAATGCCGTGTCGGCATTCAGTATATCTAGTCTCTCGCCATAGCAGTTATTTACCGGTCTATTTCTACCGTCGTAGTTCCTTTTGTTCTATATGATCGATTCCATGTCGATATTCCGTTGAGACTCTTCATTTGGACTTTTTCTGCGCTAATATTTTGCCTATGACTTATGCCGGACTCGCCTCAGCGGTGGTTCGTATGGCCATCTCATTTTCATCATCATTTTCGCCACTTTTCAGCAACGACACATAGAAAAAGCCTAAAAATGGAAGGAAATTAGGGTTGTTCTTCACCTGCCAGGCTCAGGTTCTGGATTTGACTAGTTATTATTACTTTTACTGCCACAGCAAAGAGAGCCACAAAAGCTACGTTCCAAGCCGATGATGAAGTCATACACTCAATCCATCTTTTGAGTTTGATACGAGTAACTGGCATTGGGACTCGGTGAAAGTATGAAAAAAAAAAAAAATATATATATATATGAATGAAAATAGTTCATTCTTAATGCAAATATCATGAAGCAGAGATGAAAAAGCGATGCACAATAATTTTGGTGTGAACAGAACTATTCTATACAGCCTCAGCAAAACCGACACGGTTATTTTTCATGTCGAATTCCGTGTAAAACCTTCCAATGAAAACGTCACCGAGGATCCAGAGGGGACCCGCCGGTGGGGGGATATCCAACCCGGTGAAACCCAAGAGGCAGAAGGTTTGGCCACGTTCTGACACCTACAAATAACATTAGAAGGATACACTCGCAGTCGTGATCAGGAGTCTATTACTTAATGTATGTGGGTGGTTCAAGGGAATCCTGGACTGTCTGTGATACACATGGCTGTAGTGCATGTGGATCTATTAATTTTTTAACACAAATAGTGTTGACTGTGACACAGACGTTCTTTATGGCGCCAACGTTTCATAATCAACTTCACGTGTTAAATTCAAGATGCTACGGACTTGTATCAATGTGACAGAGAGACAGCGCGTTATCGGGCTTCATGCCAAGTAGAAGACATAAATCCCGGGCTGAAATTCAGGGTAGAATTACGGATAAGGATGGTGACATTACCCCATGATGGTGAAATGTAAATGATTAGTGCCCGCGATATCAGGTGCTCAGTATCCAGGTGCGCCACCTTCGCGGCGACCTGACCGAACGTCTCTCGTGTGATTGAGTGAATCGTGGCGGTTCGTCACGAAAGATGCAGAATATCGGAAAACAGTTTTAGATAAAAATTGGGAGTGCGAAAAAAATTCCCTGAGTACTTGAAATTTCTGAATATGTCATTCCAATGGCGCCTGTGAGCATGCTCATGCACCAGACATGGGAAAGCAAAATATATGCCCACAGCCGAATAACCGGTTCGATAGTGTGGGGAACGACTTCATTAACTTGTTTAACTGAGCCACAAGCCACGATGGAAAGTTCAAATCCCTTCAAATAGAATACAACGCCGCAGCAGAGATTAAATTCCAGTTTGTATGGTAGGTTCAAGGTCTGCAAAAAAAGTACATATTACAGTTATCTGTGTGCTCATGAAATAATGAGGGAATTGCATCTATGAAATTGGCAGGTACTCCAATAAATAGGCAAAATAGCATGCATTTATCTAATCCTGTTGTATCACGGCACAAGAATGTCCGGGTTTCCCTTACACGACCCAAAATTCAATAGGTTAAAGACAGGGAGGTGTGACATACTCGCAACACGTAGTCTCTTCCCCTCAATGTGAAGCTCTTTCCAGCAAGAATGAATTGGATAGGAGGAAGGCGATGAATCAAAGAACAGCGTATCTATTAAGGGAAGAAGGAAATTCAGCTGCATCCTTTCTACAGGGTGTCTAAAAATAAAGTTACTGTTACAATAATGGATTTGTCATGTATTATATTGAAGTTGAATAACAATTTCTTCGTCAGTCTGAAAGGAAGCATTTTGGCTATTTCTGATGAAAACCAGATGGAAACTTATTATTTTTTAAGAGAGATAAAATAGCGAAAATTAGATTCAAGTAAAAAATATATATTTTTTTATCACTCTGGGACACTGATTTTCTCTTTGATTCTCACTGATTTCTCACTGATTTTAGAGATCGAGAGAGATGGGTCTCTAAGAATATCATTTCATCTGAACACGGGTATTTTTTCTCATTAATGCTTAAGAACCAGCATTTGAGAGAAGAGTCTCCCGGTAGGGCATTTATGGATCACTAACTTCTTCCAAGGCTTCCATTACTAGTTTCTCTTATATAGGCTGCTTTCAGTGGTCCACTATCATGTCTGCATTTTGTGAATATAAACTTTGTCCTTTCATTCTCGCTTCTAATATCTGAGAGATCTTCGTGCAATCTTCAGTAATGGAAAGCTTAATCTCTTACTTTAACTGTAGAAAAAAAATCATGAATATTATTTCAAGGTAATATAATCCAAGAAAAAACAATACCTGCAGGGTTAATTTTTTTCCATGCATTGTATGTCCCTGGTCCTTAGGAAAGCAGGAGACGGTGAGTTAAATCTTCCAAATCCTTACCATGTATTCTCCTCCACCGATTGGGTGTCCGCCGACTCTCCTGTTGAGGGCATTGATTACCCGACTGGGACCAGTGATGAGAGATGTGCCAGTATCGGCAATAGCCTGGCATCCATTAAAGCAGTATACAGCTTGATTGCCCAGTCTCACTCTGTTCAGATCAAGCAAAATCTCAGTATTCATGGATGAAAGCATAAACTTTAGGCATGAAAAGCTTACTTGTCCATCTTGAACTGCCAATAACCCTCACTTGTGACAGGGACGTAAGTTAAGGATCCTTTGTAGTAGTTGGGATCGGAGCCTCCTATAATGAGTTCTCCACCTTCTTTGGCCGAAGGGTCGCTGTACCAATATAATAAATACGAATGAATATATTTTAAGGAGCAAAGAGAGGTAACAGTTTCTCATCCGGCTTGCGACTAATCTTTCATTTAAAATCGAGACGTACCGATTGAGGTAGAAGGAAAATATAGGATTCTGAATGAGTTGTTGCAGAACCATGTTCTCCAACACTGTTGTCACATTGTCCACAGATAAAGTCGGGTATCCCATGCCAAGAATACCATCAAACTTGGCATCAACAAAAGTCGAACCAGGTTGGACCGTAGCTTCCGCAAATGTTTGACCTTTTACTGCTATGTCGCCGATCTGAAGGGTAGAACACGACACGCCAAGGAATAACACAGACAACTAGCGGAACAACTGATGAAACGGAAGGATCTTACTGTCATAGTGTCGGTGGACAAGAAACCCATCATGCTTCCAGTCCCATATGAGATGGAAAATTCCTCTCCATTCTCCTCGTACGTGCTAGACCTGGAGCTATCATATCTACGATGAAGCTCTGAAATATAAAACGTATGAGGACAAGATTTTTAAACCCTGCGCTGAAAGATCTCTTGTTTTAACGCCGCCGCAGTCCCTTTGCATGATTGACTCCCCATTAAAAACTGATATTTGATGCAACTGGTAAGCTAGTTAGACAAGCCCCAGATTGGGTCGGACTCTGCCAATATCCCCGATGTAAGTGAACAACACTACTCCTTCAGCTTCACTGGCGTCATCGGAAGCAATAACAAAGGGACCTTCTTCAAATAGGAGGATCTGACAGGTTCAAAACCAACTATCCAAGTTTTTATTCATTTGTGAACCGAACTGATTCTTTTGACTGATCACGATCAGAATGAACTGAGGACCATTCCTCTTGAAAAAGTAGCTCTATGTAGACTGCTACACACATACAATTGCTCCATAACTTTTAACTGTTTCCTTCCCCGTCTATCGTCCTAAGTTAGCACGTGCAGCAGTTTCGACTCGGTCAGGTGTTTAAGATGCATTATCAGCGTTTTCCAGGCACATATGTGCCTCATCAGAGTGGCTGAACCTCTAGATTCTCTTTTAATGTGATCCAGTAATGTTCAAACATGAAATAATCTTCCTCTAGTGTCTTTGCAAGCTATTAAAAACACTATGAGTTAATGTCAACGGCGGTTTAAATTGTCATTTATAATGAATAGCATGCCCATGGTCTTCTCTACGTATGACTCATTTATGAAAACTCAACTTTCGGACACCTTGGCAGATTTTTTTATAGGGAAAAATTGACGGTACCAAGAAAGAGCACAGGCTGAGAATGTATTATGTAGGCCTGAAGGATGTATGTACCAAAAGTAAATTATTGGATATTGCAAGATATACGCAGAAAAATATTCCACATTCCATCCCACTAAACCCCACCTGTAGGAAAAGCGTGAAATAGCATACGTTATCGAAGTGCTGATCATCTGCGATTCAAGAGTATTGGAGGAAATTGATCAAGGCGATTGATAAATTTGATTTTATTGAAATTCTCAATGGACTCCCAGAAATTGAGAACTCTATCTTGAAAATAATGCTCTGAACTTGACTAAGTGAGGTGCATATCGCCCATTACGGATGATTCTTCGTGTAAAACATAAAGCAATATACAGGGAGTCACGTAAGTCACTATGCAATTTCAAAAAATCATATCTATTTAACAGTTGACGCAAAAAGAATTAGCATTTACTGAACGATAGTATGCCATTTGGAATTATCTTCAAAAACGGAGACATTTCATCGTTATAAAAGTATCTCAAAATCTCTTTTGCCTAAATCTATACATTTCGCATGAGACTCGGCATTTAAAAAATCGCCGAAATTCCCATTCAACTCTGATGGGACTCTGAGAGACCTACACCCAGGTTGCTTTTTTTCTTCGCTTCGCCAAAGTCAGTTGCGAAGCCATATTGACCTGGTGACTTTCCTGGATCGTAATACATTTTTACATCACTTGGAGAAGGTGAAGCACGAGGCATCCCATGGCGGTCAACCTGTTCAAGCTAGTTTCGTTTTAATATGATTCTAGGTCTTTATCGTGGGAAAAAATTCCAAAGAACGTTCTTTCCATCAATACTAACATCGATCTGCTTGATGGAGTTTGGAAAATACTGCAGTTCGAAATGGTATAGTGACATATGGAACACCCTGTATCGTACCTCTACCATACTGTAGATCACTACATTGGAGATTTTAGAAATCAGTTTACGTTCAGAGGAGATGGGGCATTGGGGGCCTGTCTCTGTTCTGGCCATCAATAGCACCAGAGCCTTCAACGTCATGCCTAATTTTGAGTATGATGACATTAGCTTCTTTGGAAATTTTAACTGGGTTCCCAGCTAGTGCGGTTCTGAACAAAGCTAAGTACAGTTGCTTGCATAGCTGAACTCCCGCCGACAACAGCTGACAGTATAAGGACGGAATCCTCGTGCTGCGATTTTAAGTTGTAAGGTTCAATATTTCATGCAAAAAACGTACACCCGTAATTTACAATATCGACAATTTCCTTACTGGAAAAAGCACTACGATAGGTATAAAAAACATTAGATTATCTCACGGCATGCAGTGTCATTGTGGGAGCACTTCGTGGAAGGCACCCATAGATTTGACGATCCGGTGTCGAACACAACGTTGAATTCCTGCGGTGGAGTGCCGATCCCGATGGGCCCATAATACTCCGCCTGAGGAGACGCGTCATCACTGAATTAAAAATGGTTCTCCCATATTCATATGAAGGTATACATTTTGATATCGAAAAGAAGGCAGTGATTGACATCGAGGTAATTGGAGAGTCGTGTTGAGGTGGTTCCCGAGGTACTCTCTTCCAGACGCTGAAGTACCCCGAGTGTGCCAGCCTCTCGATGATAATTCCTCACGCTCTGAACACGTTGTAGCTTCACCCTGGAAAATAGAAGTCAAAATAGACAACTGTTTTTCTGTTTCTTGAACTTAGATGTGTCTCGGCCGCCACCTCCCCCCTAGGCCACCATACCCCCTCTGCAGGCGCCTTCCTCCCCTCCCCCCACAGTCGATCTCGGGTTGGCTCCGAGGGTGAGGAAAGGGAATGGATGAAAGTGTGGGTCCCCTGCCTTTCCTCCTCGTCTTTCACTCACCTCCCTTTCCTTAGTTGCGACGGAGAGGAATCGGCTTCCACGAGATACTGCGGTATCGGGTTTTAAGGCCGAGTATAATCAACTTTCCTCATAACGTCGGAAATTAGAGCGCCACCCTCGCTTATCGCCTCTTCCAGTGGAACTTCCCTTAATTTCCCTATAAGCTTATGATAGAAAATACAGTTAATTCATTATAGCGGCATCCTCGTTGAAGCACCAAAATCGGGTCTGAAGACGTGCTTTTGCGACGTCTTGAGTCTTTCCACCTGAAGTATTTTTCATTATTTTCTTGATACTAGTTCAGGCCTTGAGATGCTTCAATATGCGCACGGTACGCCATATAAAAGTTCATGCATGAATTACAAGATAGACTGGAATTGACAATAACTATATCAGTCAGTGAGTTTTGCATTGATCAAATAGAGATCTCGAAGAAGAAGACTGTCAGGACGATTCGAGAACGACCCTGCATTTACTGTATGTGTCCAATTCGGATCCGTATTTTTACTATCAATATTTATCGACCAGAGGTTTTAGATTCAGAGCGTTTTAAGTTCTTTCAAATTTGCAGAAATTCTCTAATAGAGTTTCATATCTGCAGGAGCACGGGACCCCTTTCCCGTTCGTGCGCGAACATGAACGTGCGTAATATGGAACCTTTTTTTCCCAATAACGGATTTCTTGGAAAGGGGACATACCGTGTGACATGAGGCACGGAGGACCTCTAGTTCTTTCCATGTGAAGGGGAGAGATGGAGATCATGGAAAATGAAATCCCATACGCAAATAAATAATATATTTCCTTTCCTCCTGCATTGGCCGATCAGGTGACCAGGAGAAATTGGCCGATTTAAACCGAGACCATGTTTGCGGATTTACACGTACATGGGGGCCTATAAGTTAGTTTACCGAAATATTTTCAGGTAAATACACTTCATATTTACTTGGTTTGTTATTTGTATTACAATATATTATTGTTATTATTTTCAGATCTTGTCGATGACCGTATTTGCTTCCTGTTGAAACGGCATGCCGAAGAGCAAAAGATTATAACCAATGAATTCAATGGTTCAATGAATAAACTTAATTATGAGCCAACTTATATTTTCCCCAATGTTATCGATTAAAAAGAGGATGGGGTTTAGAAGGTGCTTCCAAACATCCTTCAAACTTGAGGTCTTTCTAGCTTAAAAAAAATCATTTGGGGGAACAAGGTTTAACCATTTCTAATTCTCTGGGACCAATAGGCCCAGAGCAGTTCAAATCAGTGTGAGGTTAAATTCACAGTCTCGATGGGTAAAACTTGAAACTAAACTTCATGTCAGGACGACGAATGACTTGCTATATCTTTCATAAAGACAACCTCTAGCCTTATAAGTAGGTCCTGTGAAATATTCGACTTTACTTGAAAATCTTGAAGCTCCACGACTATCTGGAAACTTGTAACTATATTGTGCCCTACATTCGCAGCCCTGGGACAAAAAGAATTAATTGCCGGAAAAAAAGGAGATACAATCGAACTCGGTTATAACGTCATCGGAGGGACCAGGGAAAAATCGCCGTTATGACCGAGGTTGCCTTTATTGACATTCCGTTTTCCTGTCTTCAAAATAGATGCTATATAACGTTACAATCCTGTGTATATCGGTTATGCCGCATTAGCTTTAGCTTCAGGATTGACCCACAAATCGTGATGTTCGCACTTTGGACTTAGAACTACTTCATGCGTCAGCAAGGCCTTGTCAACGTCATTTCGACAGATCTACGATATTTCTTGTTTTGTGACATGTTCTCGTAAGCATGGATGAAGCTGTCACGATTTTCCCAAATTTTGGAAACAGATGAACATCTGTTCATGTCCGTGTTCGCGAGCGACGTCAGCGTTATTTCGATCACTTTTTATTGAACTATTCCTGTACACTTTCCTTTCAATCACGAAGACTTGCCTCTTTCGCTTTCCACTCGCCATGCTGTCAACGAGAAATGCAAATGGCAACTGAAGACGAGATGATCTTTTCAGTCACTGGGGATTATCCCTCCCTCACCACGACTCTCAAGAATGCCGATTCCGGAAAGGATAACGTTATGGCTCGCCAACGCTAGTTTTTCCGATTATGGAAATTCCAGTTAAGAATGACGGATTAGGAACATCAATGTCGTCAATTTCGTCAGTTTGACCTTGAATGGACTTCGTTATAACCGAGGTTCTCGCTATAACAGATTTCGCCATAACTAAGGTAAAATGTAACGTGCCTTATGCGCTCTACGCCGGGACCTGGCGCTTTTCGTCGTTATAACCGAGGTCGACTGTAATTAATTGGAATAACGTTTTATAACCTTCAGAGAGGACGAGAGCAAGGTTTTTCCACCCCCCCCCCCCTTTTTCTCAAGGACAATAGCGGCAAGAAGGATCAGAGATTGATGGCCTCATCTATCTTCTGCAGTTGTCAGTCCTTGCATTAGTTTGAACCCATGAGGAATGAGGGTTGCACCTTAAGCTTAGGCCTTACCTTCTCGGTCCTTGGGAGGCGACATTCACGGATTCCGATGGCAAGCCCAGCACGGCCACTGTAACGTAAAATAGTAAGATGAATTTCATGTCGTAGCTGTGAAGTCCAGACACGTGACCATCTGACACCGTGAATCTGCCGTAGAATATTGAAGGAAAGCTCCGTCCTAGCAACAATGAGTGATGTGGAGGATATGTGGAGGGAGTGCGCATTTTGTTAGACGGTACTGAGGCATGGGAAAGCCGTGACTCAGCGCTTTTACACATGACCAGGATTCAGGAACACGCGCTTCCTCTCTGCGAAGGTCCCGAAGCCTCCAGTCCCATCATTTGCCATGGGATCGATATTTTGCAGTATTGGAGAAGATAAGGAAAGGACCTTGGGAAGCACCAAATGTCTGTATTCGATGGCATGTAATGTACTGCATATATACAGTAGGGAAGAAAAATTGCGATAGAAATGATGTCTCAGCTACAGCACTTGGGGTCTTTGCTGCCAAGAGACATCCTAGATTTCGCATCCTATACTCTTGGGTTTCCCAATTTGGAGTGTTGAGTCTCATTGTACGCTATGGAATGGAATTCGCAGATATAGCATGCAGGCAATCGAGAAGGGGAGAGTTAGTGACGGAATATATTTCATGTCATTTATTCGAAATATGAAGGTTAAAAATTGCAACGGTGTATCTCATTTGGGACGGTAGTCGATTAACATCGATTAGGAGAACGTGCATGTTTCAAAAAGGCCTGCTATTTATTCAGAAACATTAAACTCTACTTCTCAAAGACTTTTCTCAGTTAATCTTTTTCTCAATTACAGGGTGGCGCAAAAATACCTTGCAAAAAGTACGGATTTCGAAATCACAAGCCACATAAATTATGATATTGATTCGCTGATGTACTGTAATGAAGGTAATATATTCAATGCAACTCTATGAATCAATATTGTCAGTCGTGCTTACCCCTACAACTGCCAACCGTCGCTAAAATCTACGTTGGAAGGTCACCGCGCTGCTATAGGCAGTTCTAGGGTTAATGTGTTTTGTGATTTAAACCCAAGTCCTGTAGATATGTAATTTAATGGGTAGTTTTACGCCCACCCTGTATTATGGCAACGTAATGAATAAAGGGGGGGTTATTTTCCACGGAAATTCTGAAAGTACATGTATGCATCAAATAATCGCAGAATTTGCAATGATGTGAAAAAGAAATGGGCTTCGAAGGCCATGAAGATGGTAATACTAATGAAGATGGTCATGAAGATGGTAATGCATATTAAGGCAGGTGAAGCACACTTTACTCGTCTTGACCAAGATGCATTAAAGCAGTTGGCATATGTCAACTGCAAGATGAAGCTCACAGAGCATGATGAAGGTTTCAGGTACCCCTAGGCAGAAGGCGTGCCCCCGCCCACCCCACCCTACCCCACCCCGCCCCATCCTCATTCCAATCCCAATCCTCTTCCTCCTTCCATCTCTACCCTCTTTGTACAGTCTCTGGAAGAAAGAAGCGTGACAGAGAAAGATGGGACATACCTAAGACTAAAAAAGGGAGACCCAGTTCGAATTTTTGTTCATGTGACCATATCTTCTGTTTTCATTCTGAAACCAGGTGGACGTCCTCCCCGGTGGAAATCCGTTCGCTAACGTGTATTTCGAGCCAGCTGGAATTTCCATCCATGATGATTATTCTCGGGTGGACATCGCTCCAACAGGTGGAAATAGCGCCTAGGGGGACATCCACCTGGTTCCAAATCCACATTTTGTAAGGGTTGGACACAGCGTTTTGTAATGGTTGCAACAGCGGTAGGAAAGACTGGAGGCCACATGGAAAACTCGTTGATGCCCAATAGGCAATTTCATTTTTCACCACACGGCAAAGTATTAATATAAACGTAGGAGGAAATGTACAATTTTTTAGGTGTACAAATTGTCAGTCGGGTCTTCATCTGTACCTACGCACGCACCTTTGTGTGTGTGGTCCAGACATTCACATTGGTACGTTGTAATGCTAATGGCGTGCACTTGAGACGTCTTATTCTCGTCTGTAAACTCATGGGAACCACTCTTTGGTTGATACTTATGCCTTGTTCTAGAAATTTCATAAAACGTATGCGCCTTCGGAGTAGATGAAATGGTAATTAGATCAAGACTCAGTGCAAATCTTCTCAAGTATTTCTTTGAAGAGCTTTGCACTTATCATCGCCCATTAGATACAGAAACGTTATGTATCCTCGAAACGGTCTCTAATGCATGTAGATCGAGACTCAATACAATCGCCCGAATGAATTAATGCATGTAAGTGCAAAAACCCCTGACACGGCGAGAAATGCCCATGGCCACTCATATAACTATTCCAAAAATGAGTTCACGGTTTTCATGGATCAGACAGCCAATTCAATGCCCTTAACACTTTCCCACATGTGAAATGTCCGAGTTCCCAACGCAGTACTCAAGATATACAGTAGATGTCGCTCACGTTCCCCGAAACGTCAGAACCCAAGTCAGGCAATATCGAAGCTTTTTTTTCTTCCCCTGTCCTCTTCTCATTTTGAGACTCATGGACCAATATAGGGTATGATCATAATTATGCTTAAAAGGCGATCAACGTTTCCAGAAACTTCTAGTGTTTCTCGCTTGAGTTTCCCATTCGACTTGGACAGTCGTGCATCAGGAACGTCCCATGTACGAGTGTCCGAGTCAAGTGGAAAATTGTCTGACCCTAGCGAAAACGCTGTAATTGAAGGGAATGTGTTGCATGGAAACAGGAAAGTGTAAAGAGGCAGGAATTTTAGCTCGAAAATAATACGATCATGGCTAGGAAAAGGAGAATGTCTCTCAGAAATGCGTCACGTCTTGGTAACATTTGCCACCTCGATCGCTAAGGGGGTCGCTGTCACAGAGGTACGCAGAACGTCCTTGGCATGTTGAGAAGTCCCCACACTTTCTTATCACGATGTTAGATCGCCTGAGCCGGTTCGTTGCGTGCCGGTTTATGCAGCGCCGATAGGGAAATTGAACGTTTTGTCTCGATAAAGCTCACCGGTCGGTCTCTCGTTCTTGACAATTTAGGTTCATATGCAGATCTTCCAAACGCTTGAAACGGCGTAGGAATGGGGTTCTGCAGAACGGACCCCATCCGTTTCATTTCGGGAGACACATCAAGGGTACACAATTGTAACTTATTTTGCTTCTGTACCTTTTCAATGAGCGAATTTTACGACATATCTTAGTACATCACAGCGTATAAAGTATGTATGCAATCAATATTCAACCAGTTTGTACCCATAACATGCATGCAAGCCCACATAATTAATATTATACTTTATTTATAATTAAAGAACATGCTACTTATGATTGGTGATGGGTCAGAATGTATGTAACTAAGTTCTCCCGATCTGGGGCTTGGATGGAGAGTGAAGGGTCACATAACGCATATATTTAATTTTCATCCTGTCGTTAGGATTCCTTTTCCAGTCACCTTCAAATTCATCACGTGTCCCGGTCTCCAAATGCTGTATTGTACATTGGGCACGTTCTAAATTAAGCGTCTCCAGAAAGCGGATTGAGCTATGTTGATGAAGTGATAAATGGGTTGTTTCACTTTCGTTTCTGAAAAATATATTCAGTTTCAAGTATATAATTTAATTCTTGCCATATGAATTCCTCCCCAAAATAAGACCATCGAGATAAAAGAAAAGTATGACCAAAAAAAAGCCAGTTTTATCAGTGATTCTATATGGCCTCCGCAAAACCGATGCGATCATTTCCCATGTCGAATTCTGTGTAGAACTTTCCAATGAAAACGTCACCAAGAATCCAGAGTGGACCAGCCGGTGGTGGAATATCGAACCCAGAGAAACCCAAGAGACAGATGGTACTGCCACTATAGGGCACCTGGAGAAGACATAAAAAATATACATTCAGAGTCGTAAACAATGGAGATTCCATTCGATTGTGCAAAGAAAAATATTTCACGCACTTGAAGCACGTAGTCTTTGCCCTCCAACGTGAAGTTCCTTCCATTAAATATGAAATTGATGGGAGGGAGATGAGAGATCAAAGAGCACGTAATCTTTGAGTGGAATATAGAAATTCAAATATGCATTAATGACAAAGGGAAAACATTTAAGTGCAATATATATGACATAATTCTTACCTCATATTCTCCACCACTGATTAGGCGTCCTCCAAGTTTCCCACTGAGGGCAGTTATTTCACTGCTGGGACCAGTGATGAGAGATGTGCCAGTGTCGGCAATAGCCTCGTATCCATCGGGGCAGTATGTTTCACCTTCACCCACATTCACTCTGCTCACAAGACCAGACAGGATCCTGGCGGTAATGAAGCCACGGAAGAAAGCAAATTCTTCAAAATGGGAAACTCACTTGTCCATCTTGAACTGCCAATAACCCTTTTGGGTCACAGGGACGTAGGTAAGAGAGCCTTTGTAGTATTTTGGGTCAGAGCCTCCTAGAATCAATTCTCCACCTTCCGCGGCCAAGGGGTCACTGTTTCGATTTGCAAGAAAATAATAATAGATGTCGAGAAGCATAGGAAGGCAAAACTCGAAGAAACAGATGGGGTGATATGCACCAGATCTGTTTAACTTCAACTAATCTGATCTCGCAATGGTCCTCTATGGAATCCGTTTGACGGAGGTAATCTTACTCCCATAGACACCCATTATGAAACCAGATCAGTTTAAAGTAAAACGGATCTGGAGCATGTTACCCTTGGTGCCTTTCCTGTCCCATAAAAATGACCTACCGATTGAGGTAGAAGGAAAACACCGGTTTCGGAAGGAGCTGCTGTTTGACCATATTCTCAAACACAGTT